GTGATCCTGATTACAAACATGTTTCTTTAGATCCGGTCCGTCCTCCGTGACTCAGTCCAGGGATTAAAGGAGGATTTCCACCGTTTTTCACTGATCAACTGCACCAGGGCTGGAGTTAGTGTTTCAAAAAAAAGGGGTTGGGGGGGGTGGAAACTGCCTAAAGAATTCAGAAAATGAGTTTGACAAAATATATTAAAAATTAAAAATTAAAAGTTTTGTCAATAAATATTAGCTAACGCCTGTACCAGACATGTAGCCAAATAATTTAGAGTGTGTGTGTGTGTGTGTGTTCCTGGGCTGTACTTGTGGGGACACGAGTTGTGGAGTTTTTATTAGGTTCCAGATTTTGGTCAATGTTAGGATTAGATGTACAGTCAGATTAGAGTGAGGTCGAGGATTAAGATTAGGAATATATTTTTTATATATATTTTTAGTTACGAGGCAGATGGGAGAAAATGTACAAGAAGTCCTCACGAAACACAGGGAAACAGATTGTTTTCAGTGTGTGTGTGTGTGTGTTTGTGTGTGTGTGTGTGTGTGTGTGTGTGTGTGTGTGTGTGTGTGTGTGTGTGTGTGTGTGTGTGTGTGTGTGTGCGCGCTGACAGCAGACACAGCTGCTCAGAGACATGAAGCAGCCCAGCGTCATGTTCCTCCGGAGCGGATCTCAGTCCTGACGTGAATGGACTCAAACCAAAGCTCCGCTGCAGTGACTGATTATTTGTTTCTCCACAGAAAGTTCCGGAGCCGCGGCAACAAAACAGGTTGAACTGTCACAACACACACACGGAGTCTGGACTGTGTTTTTGTTTCATCCTCACAGCGAATCAGGCTCCGCGTCGTGTTAGAAAAAGTCGGACAAATTTCACTGCAACGTTTGGGGTTTTTCACGTGGGAAAATTTGGTCTTGGAATTTGGACGACGTGAGGAAAATGTAAAGAATTCTAGTGGAGAGTTTTTGAAATGAGCAGGAAATAAAAGGCTACAAATGCTACATGGTACGAAAAACAATAAATGAATTTAGTTCAAATAATCAACTAATCAACTGAAATAAGTCGACTCAGGAATAGTCAGAAACACAGCAAGAAAACTCAACATTAGCTGCCAGTTTTTGAAAAACAAACCTGCAGTTTTATGCAGACACGTAGCTAAAGGTTAGCCGTCAAACAGCTAATTTATCTGGAAACTCGCTGCAGACACGTAGCTAAAGGTTAGCCGTGAAACAGCTAATTTATTTCCATTCATACAGTGACTGTAAAAACACACACCACACGTTCTAAGATTAAAGTTTATGAATTCTCTCTCTGGGCTTCTGGTCGCCTGGATTACTGGACTCGCTGGGACGGCGTCCCACGGAGAGTAAATATAGACGCCACACCCTCGGCCCCAAACACACACACACACTAACACACACACACTAACACACACACACGGTGGCAGAGCCGTTTCCCTCCGCGAGGACGAAGTTTAGAGATGATTTAGTGAAAGTATCCTGTTATGGATTGGCTGCACGTCAACTGTTACAGTAACCAATCAGAGCAGAGTTTGAGAGTCTGCTCACAGCAAACACCACGGAAATGTTTATGGATGGTTGAGATGGATCCAATAGGAGCTAAATGTGGGCCAGGAAACGGTTAAAAGTTACTGAAGACTCGAGCTAAACGATAGCCTTACAGATAAGTTAGCAAACGAACAAGTCCGATCTTAGCTAAGACTAAAACTGAGCAGCTCAGAAAGCTAAAGGTAATTCTATACGACGACTTAAAACGAGCTCAACAACGTTAGCTAAGAAAGCTAAGAAGCTCAACATTAGCAGAAAGTCAGGAGTAAGAAGAATTGTGAACGTGAGTCGGAGCAGGAAGTGGGAAAATCAACTAAGAGTTAGCCAAGAACTAGCTTCTAAATACAAAACCGTTCTGTTGAGGACGTTTGACCGGTTGGTTTTTAGAAAAACACAAACTTTATGACTGTTTTTGGAAACTGATCCTGTAATTTTAGGCTCTAAGTTTGGAAAAAATACACATTTAAGTTTGATTATTTTGTCTTGTGACTCAGGTACGTCCTCAGAACGACAGGACGGCGTTGGCAGGACCGCGGGTTTGGCCACAGTGTTCCAGGGCGGAGACTTATCGCTGCCGTTAGCTTCTGTGAGCGACTAAAACCACAAACTCCACTATCTGCACTTTGACGCCGACAGCGTCTGTTGACGAGCGGCTGAATGAAGTCAGTCGACGTGGAGCGAACTCCAGCAGCACAATGCTCTGTCTTTGACCATTCAGCTCCACTGTTTACTCCGTCTGATCCTGACCTTCCTGACGACAGGTGATGGTGTTGATGTTACGTCAAAGTTGCCGATAATCTACAGTAGCCTTTTGACTCAGGGACTCGATGCGTGACTCAGTCTGTGTTTTATCCCTAGTTAGTCATGAATCAACACCGAAAAGCAGAGTTCCCAAACTGATGGAACTTTGTCTAATCAACCAGGAATT